CATATCAGCAGGAGTATAAATCATAAGTCACTCTACATAAACATATCAGCTGACTAGTTGGGAAATAATTACAACAAAATTATTACTGATTCACTGTAATTGAGTCCAGTGAGTGAGTTTTGGCAAAAAAAACTAATCTGAGTTCAGGATTAGGCCCTAATCAAACTTACACAGCAACTACACAGTATTTTATTCTGTCATCCAAGCTTGAATGGCAAACTGCATTGTTTCATTTACTGTACCTTTCAGTCTACTTATTACTGGTATACTGTGGTTAGTGTATCAGTTTCTCCTTACCTTTCTCTCTCTTCTTTTTGGTTCTGTCTAGGTGATCTTTGAGCATGGTTCGAACTTGTTTCTCATTAGCCAGGTCTCTGATGAAAGCGTGTCTCAGCAGAGCATCAGTGGTGGGTCGATGCAGATGGTTCTTGACCAGACAGTTATCAACGAATGATAAGAAACGCTTCGACCTAGAAGACAGAGAGTAAACTCAGACAGAATGATGGTGGAAGGAGGATGAAAGGAGGAGAATGCTGTGAAAACCAGAAGTATATAAAGTTGGAAGTGGATATTTGCTTAATATGCCTTTAACTTTGGATGATATTGTCCTGCTCATTCATTGTAACAATAATTACAGTTAATTCTTTAAATCCCCTTCAATTAATTCCAACATTCAGTATTTCAGAAATGTTACTGTAATACTCTATGCATTTAAATTGCACTGTAGTTTATTTTGTCAGTTTTTATCGTGTTTAATCAGGTTTTTGCAAGGTATCATCTGCAAAAAAAACTAAAACTAAAAGTGGTATAAAAATAATATTGGGTTGACAGAAAGTAAATGGCTTAAATGAGGAACATGTTCAAATGTTATCATAGAAAACAATACATGCCTGTAGTACATTGGTAAAATAGGCTGAGGCAATTTTCTTGACCAAATCACTTTATTATTAAAGTAATACATATTTCATGCATAGGTAACATTAAAAAAAAAAACACAACAGGAAAACAAACAACAAAGTATAAAGTCATTCAGTCATGCAGTCAAAATCACAAGAGAACAAAGAACAAGTTTCCAACAGTGAAATGTAACAGACCAATATAAAAACCAGCAGGTCTATTGGTGAAACATTTAAATCAATGACAGCTTCTGTAAACGGTCAAAAAAAATCTTCATTGCCATATTTGTTCAAACGCACCTAGAGTACGCAAGCTACAGCAGTAATCACACTTCTTGGAGTATTACCAAGGAAAGTCCAAAAATTTTGAGCTGAAATCCTACTCAGGCAATATCTGTTTACAGAAATGATCCTGACATTTAAGAAGTAGGTTGCCTGTGCTCCGAACTTGTAGAAAATAGGGACGGAATATGTGTTGCTGTTTCATAGGCAGGCCTAGAGGTAAAAGGGCCAGAAAGCACTGCTTATCCCAGGCCACTGGAGCTATAAAAGCTATCCTATGAACTAGAACTTCTGATCACATTAGAGTAAAAGAGAGATGGGTTCATAATATAACTCGACATTAAAAATGTCAGCAACAACACCTCTAGTGTTTCCTGTCAATTTTAAAGTCCCCTTGGAATGCTAGTTTCCAGCCAATTAATGTTTAATCTTGGGTACCTCTAGATTATCTTGGCACCCCTCATAACTCCAAATAGTCTATCATTTTTTCAGAATAATAAAACCAAAAAGCTTCTTCCTGAAAATGAAAGAATAGCTTGTGAACACATACAACCCCTGCTGCCAGTGTTGCGTTGCAGGTGAACAGCACAATGAACCGCAATGGCATTAATTAATGTGAATTTCTCCTCCATAGATAGGTAAACAATGGTGTATATACCAATGAATAGAGATGTGTAACAATCTAAACAAAGTGGGTAGTTGAGAAACCCCATATTTTAACTGGCATAATGCAGACATAGTACCTTCTCCAGCCTTACGACAATTCTCTCTAATGCTACAGAAACAAGGCATTAACAGATATGCAACTTTTTTTTTTAACTCACCGTTGAGTCCCACCCCCCTTTAAGTAGCTCCAAGGTCGGTAAATCCAACCGGTGGTCACTGCGTCTTCCCCCATACGACCACATACATTCCCAAAGCAGTGAAACTAATTCCCACATGCAGGGTAGCGCCGACAATAGCATCATGGGTTGTTAATCCGCATCACGAGGCAGACACACTGGCCTCAAGTAGACAAAAAAAAAACAGGTAACTCCAGGGGAATCCAGCATTGGTAAGCTGATCACTAACCACTGCGGAGGCTTCACTGGCTGGCTGCTTGTAGGTTAGACCCATTCAGGTAAAACAGAGTCCCTCTACAGGAACATTGCCGGACATGCAATAACCTCAGGCCCTGTATTTTTCTCCACATCCTCTGGTCACAGTGCAGCAGCAGGAGGTAAAATATATCCACAAAACCAGGCACACACTGCCGCTTTTACAATGGCACAGGGGATGTCTTTTATTTTTTTTTATTTTATTTTAATAAGTTTTATTGAAAACATACATAACACACAAGGAAGTATAACATTTTGCCAATATGGTGGGGGCACCAGTGGATGTCAGGCAAGCACACATGAATGCGCAAAGGGCTGGATTCCATGCCCATTCAAGGAAATCCCTAAACTATCACGTAATACTTAATTTTGTTAGAAAAAAAGTCTCACGAGCCAGAGTTTGCGAGCCTTGTATAAACCAAGTTACTTCTGTAACTTGAGCTTCAGGTCATGTCTAAGATGATAATTCGCAGTTGCAGCACTGCAGATAAATCAAAAAACAAGAAAAAGCATGCCATGGGCTCTTTAAAGAAAAGTCGACATAACTTGCACTTTTTTACATTTTATCTTAACATGTCTGGACATGCCCATGGCTCTGCGCTTTCAGTTTCCTTGAGAGAAGAGTGTTTGGATATCGTTAGTCTGATCGTCAGATGCACAAAACCCACAACAAAGGCCACTCTCAAGCCATGTTTTCAAAGGAGAAAACCTAAACACTGCCTTCTCATTCCTGTTGTTAGAGTACGTGTGTGTGTGTGTGTGTGTGTGTGTGTGTGTGTAAGGCTTACCATTTCTTTGATTTTAGTTTGGGTGGAGGGTTTCGTGGAATTAGAAACAGTGCTCTCATCGGGTGCATGTCACACAGAGCTAGAAAGAGGGTGACAGTTACAGAAAGACAGAGAGAGAGAGAGAGAGAGAGAGAGAGAGAGAGAGAGAGAGAGAGACATGAACAGATGGGGACAAAGGGAG